CCCTTGGGGACATTTGGAAATGTCTTAGAGACCTTCCACTCATCACAACTGAGAGTTGGGCACCCCTGGCATCTTGTGCGTGAAGGCCGTGGGTGCTGCTCAGTGTCGTGTGGTGCACGGGACAGCCCCCACCACAGGGAATGATCTGGTCCCCAGTGTCAGGAATGCCATGTATGAAACCTCATTCTAGATTGTTCCATGATTTGGGATTTCTGGGAAATTTTGAGAAATGCTTTGAAGGAGGACTACAGGGCTGGGGCAGCTGAGGAGTGTACGGGTGGGGCATACCTAGTCCAGGGCCTACGCAGAGCCTGATGAAGGGTGACACTGACCCAGGGCTCTGAGGGAGGAGGGGCCAGAACTAACTGCATGGGAACCGGGAGTGCTGCGGGCAGGGGCTCTGGGGGTGCAAAGGCCCCCCCGTTTCCCCATGTTCTCTCTCTTGGTTTCCCCACTCACAGACGAAAACGAGTGTGTGCTGTCCCCTGCGGCCTGCGGCAGCGCCTCCTGCCACAACACACTGGGAGGCTTCCGCTGCGTCTGCCCCTCTGGCTTTGACTTTGACCAGGCCCTGGGGGGCTGCCAGGACATAGATGAGTGTGCTGCCCGGGACGGGCCCTGTAGCTACAGCTGCACCAACACTCCTGGTGGCTTCCTGTGTGGCTGTCCCCAAGGCTACTTCCGGGCTGGGCAAGGGTGAGGGGCTGGAGGGGGGTGGGCCGAGGTTCCCCAACCCCACAAGAGCATCTGTGCACACATGTATGTATGCACACATGAGTTCACACCCCACTCTGGTGCAGTTGCCTGTGCAGACGCGAGCTCACACCCCACTCTGGTGCAGTTGCCTGCATGGTGCACCTGCGTATTTGCACATACACAGCTGTAGGTGCACACTTCTCTGTAGTGCCCTTGAGCATTTGCACGACTCACGCCTATGCCAGCACCCCGGTCACCCTTATGCATTCGTAGATCTTAGCGTGCACACGTGCACACATAATACACACCAGCGCTATGGGGTGCCTGCAGGTCCACATCTCTGCCCGCGGGGAGCCAAGGGATGCACGCACACATGCGCGTGTCCTCTGTGTAGGCACACACGAGGCACTCCTGCACATTGACACACCAGCACCCCTCCCCACGGGCAACGTGGCTCCGAATGGAGAGTGGAAGCTGGAGGGGGGGGGGCAGAACCCCGCAGCCTGCCCCTGAAGACCCATCACCCCCTTGTCCTGGCCCAGGCACTGTGTCTCTGGCCTGGGCTTCAGCCCTGGACCCCAGGAGACCCCAGACGAGGAGGAGCTGCTCTCATCCGAAGCCTGCTATGAGTGCAAGGTCAATGGCCTCCCCCCTCATGACCGGCCACGGCGCAGCACCTATGGGGGTCACCAGGTGGGGAGAAGGAAGGCAGAAGTGAGATAGGAATGTTGGGTCTGAGGGGCTTTCAGTATTAGATTTAACCAAATATGTATTACTTTGCCCTATTTCCCCCTCGCTTTTTTCCCTTTCCTATTGTTTCCATTGTTTTCCATAAGCTTCACAAGGGTAGGGCCCTGCATCTGTAAGAGTGAGTGCAAGTTATTGGGGCTCCTGGGATGGGCACCGACGGATCTGGGTAGAGGGAGGCTGCCCCCCACCTCTTGCCCTGCCCCCCAGGCCCCCCTCCCTGGGCTTTGCCTGCAATACCAAAGACAGCCAGGAGGTGTCAGCAAGAGCCCATATCTGAGCAACACCGGGGTTGGGGGCCGGTGCTGAAGTCTGCAGACCCCAAGGGCCGGGAAACAGGACTAGCATTAACACAACCACAAAGCACCCCTCAACATGTAAATGAGGCGGAACAAACACAGCAGTGCCCAGAGCCAAGAGGAAGAAAACACAGATCACCTCCTTTAGGCCTGGCTACGTCACCCAGCCCGGGTTAGCCTGCCAGTGAGGCCGCTGGCTTATTCAGGGCCCTGTCCGGCTGCCAGGACCAGGAGCGCACTCAGAGAAGCTCACATAAAGAGGGGCTTGTCATCTGCACACAGGGGGCTCTCAAAGAGCCCAGATGCAGGAAGCGTAGCAACCACCCCCACCCCGGGGAACCGGAAAGCTCTCAGGCAGCTCCTCTCTACGGCCCCTACCCACTGCATTCCAACTCTCCCCGCCTCTGACGGGCACCTGCCTGGTCTTTGTCCACAGGTGAGCCTGGCCAGCCTTGACTCGGAGGCCCCGCTGACCTTGGGCCTGAACCTCTCCCGCCTGGGCCGGGCTGAGCACATCCTGGAGCTGCGACCAGCTCTGGAGAGCCTGGGGGGACGGGTCCGCTATGTCATTGCCCGTGGCAACGGGCCAGGGTTCTTCCGCATGCGTCACCTCCCGGGCCTCAGCTCCCTGCAGCTGGGGCGTCGGAGGCCTGGGCCTGGAACCTACCAGCTGGAGGTGGTGAGCGTGGCAGGGCCCTGGAGCCCCTGGCCGGAGGGTCTGCTGACGCCAGGGGGCGGGGCCTTGCGGCTGAAGGTGCACCTGCAGCTGCTGTAGTCCGAAGGAGCCCGCCTCTCCGGCCTGGCCCCAGGCCCCTCCTGAAGCCCCCATCTCTGGACTCCCTGCGTGGGCACTGCCTGGTCCTTGCCTCTTCTGGCAGGATTTGGGGGAAACTAATGTCACTCAGCTCACCACACACCGCAGAGAGACCCTGGTGACCCCAGTGAAGCCTTGGCCTTGGGGGCTACTGATCCCACCAGCAGTGGGATCACTGACCAGGTGGAACCCCAAAACTCAGGAAGAGTAAAATGCGATTCTCTGACCTCAGGCGAACCCAGCCTCTGCCCAGGGGGACCCCAACAGTCTGTCCTCCCCGGAAGCCAGCTGGAAGCCATGGCATGCACCGGCCTCCTCCAACAACCAGAGTCAAGGAGGGGCCTGTGATTCCCTGTAGCTGGTCGACCTCAGGCTTACACTGCTGCACTGCACCGTGGGTCACCGCTGGGAGGCGGTGGGACATGGGAACGGACAGCTGGTGTGGGCCTGGGGCTTCACCCTCCAAGCCAAAGAGCCTGTGGGGCCCCAGCCAGAGTTGGTGACACACAGCCATGCTCAGGCCCCCGGTGGGGTGGGCTAGGGTTCCAGGCCACTATTATAGCAGAAGCAGAGATGACAATAAAGTTATTTTGGGTTAAGTCTGCCTCTCTGGCATGTTCTGGAAGTCCGGAGATGCTGCGCTCAGCAAGGCCAGGTCTGGCTCACAGGTCAGGGAGCAGGAGGCCCCAGAGGGTAGAATGGACTTCAGCCCAGGGCTTGGAGGAGAAAGCGTGCAGGTGAGACACAGGTGAAGGCCACCTTCTGCTGCGGGGTTGGGGGACACGGTCCCAGAGTGAACTTCCAACTCATGACTGACACAAAGCCAGGCTGCCGGTGGCCACACTGGAAGCCCTGGTGGGGTTCACCGGTCCTGATGACAACGGCTCACACTTCCTGACCACGTGCGATGTGCCGGGCCCCATTCCGAGTAATTTCCATCGTTGACTCATGTCATTGTCCTTGGAACTGCCTGGAATAGAGGCTGTTATGCTGGTCCCTGGTTTACAGATTGGAAAACAGGCTACAGAGCAGAAGGTGACTCTAAGTGGCAGGTAGCAGAGCCAGGGTTCAAAATGGGGCGTCTGGGCCCGCATCTCTGCCATCACCAACCGGGCCATCTTGCCCGGTTCCCGGGCAGGTCACGTCTACACACCATGATGGCCCAGCTCCGTACCAGGAGACAGTGGATGCGCGGTCAGCGTGAGTGTATGCCATGCCTGTCGCAGACAGTACATTTTTTTTTTTAAGTTTACTTATTTATTTTTTTAGCTATTGCTATACCCAGTGTGGGGCTGGAGCTCACGACCCCAAGGTCCTGACTGCCAGGCAGGCACCCCCGAGAGTAGTGCATTTAGTCCCTGTTGACTTGTCTGAGAAAAGCAGTGATCTCGCCAATTCTACGGGGCAAGGGGGGACCAAGGCTCACCGAGTTTGTAAAATCTGCCCGAGTTGCCTCCATAGCCTAGTGGGGCCTGGGTGCGACCCACTGGCCCACAAACTGCCTCTTGTCCTCTAGAGAGGGAGCATTTGGTTTTCATCTGGAATGTTCTCTGTCATGCCGGAAACACGCTGCCAGAGGACAGGGCAGTTGGATGGCTTGAGTCTGGCTGAGTGACCGGAGTATGGCCCTGCCGCTCCCTGCAGGATGGTCACTGATGCCTGGGCTGTATTCTTGGCCCGGTTCTGGTCCCCTTGGCCTACCAGGAGCTTCTCTGGACCCCTGTCAGAGCTTGTAGAGGATTCCTCCGCATTAGCTGGGGGTCTGAGCCCAGGGATCTGAGCAGAACAAGCACAGTGAGCCCCGTTTTAGAAGCGAGGAAAGAGGTGCCAAGAGAATGAGTGGTTTGCCCAAGGTCACCAGCTGGACTCGCACCCGGGCCTGCAGCCAGCATGTCCCCCAGGAGCCGTCCGCTGTGAGGACTGCCAGCACAGATCTGGGGGTGGGACAGTCACGTGGGATTCAACACAGGCGGGGGCCGTGATGCACAGTCTATAATGAAACGTGACCGACAGGAAGAGCATTCCATCAAAGGTTTATTTAAAAACTGTAGAAAAGCAGGGTCTGGGAGAAGCATCCAGGGATGGGTGCTTTGCAAGGACTCAGAGGGACCCAGGTGGGCGTGGCCCAGGACAGGTGGCAAGAGGCTCAGGTAGGCGAGGTATTCCAACCATCCTCTACAAACCCACTGCTTAGTGCTGACTCTGGCTCCTGGAGCAGGCAAGGAGGCTCAAAATAAGGTCAGCCCTCTCCTTCCAGCTGCCTGAGGAGCAGGATGTGGCAGGGGCGATAGGAGGTAGCCAGCCGCAGGCTCAGGCACAGGCACAGGCATGGATATTTGGCCCAAATGACAGGGAGGCTGGGGCACCCGGAGCCGCAGGGGGCCGTTGTGGTGGAGAAAGGTCCAGCCCATCTCGTGCTGGGCTAATCCTGGAGATGTCTGGGCTCATGGTCCTGCAGGGGTGGGGGGGGTTGGAGAGGCCAGCAGGTGACCAGGACTGGAGTGGAGCTGGGGGCCCTGCCGCTCTTGGTCATTTCCTTGCAGTACTTGCTGAAGCCCCCTAGGCTGGGTTAGGGCAGTAAACGGCCACCTGAATGTCAGCCTGTAGGGCTGACACAGGGCCAGCCTCCTTGGTCCCGGAAGGGAGTCCCCTCACCCAGTCTGCTGCTCAGGAGCCCTCATCCCGTGGCAATGGTGATGGGTGGAGAGAGCCACATCATCAGAATCCTTACCTGCATTCGTTTTTGTCCAGAAGGAAGTTTCCCTCTTATTGATTCTGTCGGGCCTCCTAAACTTGGGTGGTGGGAGCTTGGAGTTTCCAGGGCCTGCCTTCCTACATCTAAAGGGGGAGTCTGTACCAGAGAGAAAGGAATAGATAAGAGTTCTTCCAGTGCCCTCTGAGCACCTGGATCCAGCCATGCCTGAAGCTGCTGGGTAGTCACTTGAGCTGATGAGCTTCCCATTTGCTTGAGTTTGCCATCTCTAGCAATGGAAAAAGTCTGGGCTGAAAGAGTTGTTCATTCACTCAGTCTCCATTCACCAGCAATCTGCCCTCTTTGGGGTGGTGACAGCTGTCAGCATGCTGGACTTCGATCCCCTCCTTTGGGGGTTCAGAAGCCTAGGGGCCCACAGCAGGGAGGGGGAGGCCCCAGATGCTGGGCTTGGGTTTCACGCACCATGAAAGTGTCTCCAGAGGTGTTTTGAGAAGGTCTTGTTCCCAGCATCCATGAAGTCTGTCATCTTCTGCACCCAGCTGTCCCTCGGGTTCGCACACATCACCTTGTTTTTCGGGAAGGAGAATCTGTGGGGGGTGGGAAAGCGGGTCCCCAGGTTAGGGTGGGTGCAGGGAGCAAAGTTGTGAATGAGCCCCCCTCCCCACCCCAGCCTCCTGCGAGCCCACGCACATCACGGCAGGCAGGTTGCAGCTCCCGCTCACTTCCTGGCGCCGGTAGCCCTGGACAAGCCGGAGCAGGCGGGGCCGCACGCAGCGGTGGTAGTCCAGGCAGCAGTCCTCCGAGACACCTGCAAACACGGCCGGAGGCTCAGGTCGCTGTGTGCACGTGCACTGGGCAAGCACTGCCCCAGACGCACGCACCCCGAAACAGACAGCAGCCCTCCCAGCCCCGGAGATAAGGAGGCTAGCTCGTCTCACCTTTGACCCCTGATATGGGGAGTTGGCAGGAGTTGGAGGGGGTCCACAGTCCAGGGCTGGGACGGGCCCAGGACCACACAATGGGTGAGGGATCAAAGCCGTCTCTACTCCCGCTCTGGGGTAGAGGGCAAGGGGCGCAGATGGTATGCTCCAAGGGAGGGCCAGGAGCCCCCATGCCCAGCCCAGTCCCTTCTAAAACGAAGGGTCTGGCCAGCCGCTCCTGATGTCCCAGCTCCTGCTCCAGGCTGGCCCTCCCGCCTAGACCTATCTCAAATGCCTCTGCCTCTGTCCCCATCAGAGTGACCACTCAGTCAGCGGGCCAGAAACCTGGAGGTCTCTGTTCATTTACTGGTTGGTTGAAAAAAAGGCATCTCAAGTTCCTACTAGGTGCCGGATGTGTACAGAGCGGAATTGGACACGGGGATCTCCCAGCCTGGGGGCGGGGGGTGGGGAGCCCAGAGGTCGGTCGCGCTGGGAGGCGGAGGAGCAGGGACCCGGAGCAGGGCGGGCTTGGAAGAGGAGGTGCTGGTGCCATCAGGGCCTGGGAGGATGAGCAGGGGGACCTGATGAGATGGACAGGGAGAGGCCTTCAAGGCCCTGTGGGATCCATCCCTCTGCTGACCCCCGCCCCCAGGTGCCACACCTGGGTTCTGGCCAAGTGCAGTAGGAAGGATGGGGGAGGAGGACTTGAGTGGTCTCCCGCATCTCCGAACCGTGGCCCCAGAGGGCAACGGGCAGGGGTGCTGGAAGGACCCTGGGTTGCAGTACCAGGCAAGCCGGGGGCCATTCTGCCCCCAGGATCAAAGGGCCCCAGGATGGGCCTCTGACAGCAGGACAAGGGGAATGAAGCCCAGCCCCATCCTGGGCAAAGGTAAGGTCTCCTGGAAGCAGGGATAGGTCCTCTCAGGCCCAGTGAGGGGCAGGCAGGGCAGGGAGGGCAGGGAGGGTAGGGGTGGCTCTGGGGCTTTGACCAAGCCAGGGATCCTGCTCATCCAGTTACTGGGGCTCAGCTGCCTCCCCTGGGGCCCTGTCCTGTGTCCTAGGGACGCAGGACACAGTGGCCGGGCTCTTGGTGGACACTGTATGTACCAAATCCTCAGATGCCTAATAGAGGGAGAAGTGGGAAGGGACTCCCCATTAATAGCAGTAATGGTTAGCTTTGTTGCCTCCGGGCACTGAAGAGTTTTGCAAATATCAGCCCATTGGATTCTGGTGTCCTGTCTCTGCAGCAGGAATTCAGAGCCCCACTTTGCAGATGAGGAAACTGAGGCTCATGAAGACTGAGTAGTAACTCTCAGCCAGACTGCACAGGTAGCCTGTCGGGGAAGGGGGACACTCGGGTCCCATCACTGCAGTGTGCCCCTGGCTCTGCCACCCCTGCTCCCTACAGTCCCTCTGCTCCTCATAGTCCCTGGGCTAGCTAGAGTCCTGGCAGGGAGGCCTTGGGTCACGAACCGTGGTGGAAGCATCACAGGGGCTCTGGAAGGAGGGGCTGGGGGGCCTGCACCCCCTGGGGGGGTTCACAAATGAGAGGAGTTCCTACATCCCAGGGAGCGGGAGTTGTCCGGCAGAATTCAGGGTAGAGATGGAAGAGGAAGGCTTCTGGAGGAGGGGAGGGGCAAAGGGGGGAGGGCAGGAAGGATGGGTGGGGAGAGGAGGGCTCCCAGGAGGCAGGGTGGGTATGGCCCAAGACATTACCTTGAGCGTGGCTGGAAGACCAGGCACCCACCAAGCTGGCCAAGAGGCAGAGCGGGAGCCGCAGGTTCATGGTGCAGGCTGGCCTTCCTCCTCGGCTGTCTTGAGGAGTAAGGGGAGAGGTAGGGGTAATGAGGACCCAAAATGGACAGCAGTGGGCCCTGGGAGCACCCCCATCTCAAGTCCGACCCCCAGGGCCCTCTGCACAGGGGAGGGGACCGGGGTGCTGGTGGGGCCTGCGCTGGTCTCAGCCAAGATCGGGGTGGCCCCCGGGGTGCAGAGAGGGGGCAGGACTCACCAACACCTACGGAGACCCAGGAGCTGTGCCTGCAGGGGTGTCTCCACGCTCTCCAGCCCAGCAGGCCAACAGGTGTCACAGCCTTTATAGATGGAGCCCCACCCTTCGGCCACGGACCCTCCCCACCCCCTCCTTCTTTCTCACTCAGCCTCCGCCTCTGCCTTGGGCTTCTCCCAGTTTCTCTTTCTAGCTCCTCTCTCCCATGTCAAGGTGCACCTGGAGGGAGCTGGCTGTAGATACCTGGGGACACGAGGACCTACTTCAAAGAGCTGGCAGGAAACACTGACTTTCTCAACTACGAGGATGTGAGACAGACAAGGGTTGGCTCCCTTGGGGGCTGGAGACAGGACCACACAGATGGACAGACACAGCCTCCCCCAAAGGACCCTTTCTCCTCCCCGCATTCCCTCTCCTGCTGGACCCCAGGGCATACCTTGGCTTCCCACAGACGGGCGTCAGGCTGCCTAGAGCCTCTGCCCTGCTCCCTGCTCCCTGCTCCCTGCTCCCAAGCCACCTGTTCCCATGGGTCCCTGACTTCACCCCACTCTTCTCTCCTTCCCCACAATGGGGAGCCTTACAGTTCTGCAGAAATGCCCTGGTTTTGAGAACAGGCAAATCCATAGAAGCAGAAAATAAAATCCGTCAATGCCATGGGCTGGGAGGGGAGAACAGGGGTTCGGTACTATGAGTATAGTAAGCACGTGAACCTTACGCTTTCTTTTTAAAAAGATTTTATTTTATCTCTTTTAAAGTTTTATTTATCTGAGAGAGAGGGAGAGAGAGAGCAGGCACACGCTCAGCAGGGAGAGGGGCAGAGAGAGAGGGAGAAAGACTCCTCAAGCAGATTCCCGGCTGAACCCAGAGCCCCAGTTGGAGCTGGTTCCAAGACCCTTAGATGGTGACCTGAGCTGAAATCAAGAGTCAGACGCTTAGCTGACGGAGCCAGCCAGGCGCCCCTGCGACCTTCCTTTCCAGTGGTATGTGAATTTTCTCGAATATTATCTGGGAAAAAATGTTATTAACAACCACCAGAACAAAGACATGCTCTAGTTTGGGAATAGATGCCCGGATCCCCAAGTAACCACGACGGCACGAAGCAAAGCAAAACCCACGTAGAAGGTTTTGCCTTCTCCTGGCTCGGCGTGGCTCACCCGGTCAGAGGTGCCACCAGTGGGAGTGGGCAGTTGCCGCGGGAAGGGGCCTCTGCAGAGACCTCGCAGCTGATCGCTTGGAACTTTTAAGTTTTTATCCCCCGCATCCTTAACTAGAGACCACCCCAGGTATTTCTCACACTCGTACCCATTTCTCATCTCCCCGTCCCCCACCCCCCTGCCCACGGGAGCCCCTTGGCAGGGGCTCCCCTGGATGGAAGCGGATTGCTTTGGGGGCGGGGCTTTGGCGCGGGGCGGGGCCTTGGCGCGGGGCGGAGCTTACGAGCCATGTCCCGCCCCGCTCTGGCGGGTGAGCCACAGTGGGGCCCCGCGCCTAGCAGTCCCAGGTCAGTGGCTGTGGCCGTCCCCAGGGCCCGCGTGCGACTGCAGTTCCTCGACCTCCTGCTCTGGGTGAGGGAGGGGGGCGGGACGCGGCTCCGCGTGGCTGGGGGCGTGGGGACGCGGCGTGGCGGGCCCGGCTAGGCTCTCCGCTCCAGTCTACTGCACCTGCCCGTCCCGCCAGCGGCAGCCGCCAAGACGTGGTGTGACGCCGTCTTGGCCGTGAGCCCCTGCGAGCGAGCCTACCTCCCCTCCCTCCCCCGCACGGTTTGGCCCACCTGCAGCTTTAACGGGGAGGAGACTGTCTGAGGCACGCCGGGCGCAGGCGCTCCCTTTGGAGTGAGTTCCTCTGGGGGGCCGGCTAGCTCTCATTTCTCTGCTGGAGAACCCTGCCAGGTGTTCTGTGTTGGACAACTTTGCAGAGGAAGAGACAGAGGGTCAGGGAGGCTCTGAGAGTCATCAGAAAGGCACAGGGACCCTGGGGAAGTGCCACCAGCTGAAGTGGGGGTCCTTATGAAGTTGCTTCTGCATATTAGATCCCCCCCACCCCGCTTCCCAGTGCTGTGGACAGCTCTCCTGAACCTCTGGTGTCCCCAGGTCCCTGCTCAGATGGGCTGGGAAAGCAGCAGCTAGGGACCCTCCCCCCCCACGCCTCCTTGTTGCGCCTGTCAGGAGGAGCACACCAACCCGTCTGCGGGGCCTGGACTCCTGTTGTGCCTAGCTGCCTCCTGCTCTGGCCCAGATGCACAGTGGTTACCAGGCAACTGGAGGAAGGGAGGAAAAAAGGTTTTTCTAGGATGCCTTGCAAGCCTCTGGCCTGACTTTCAGGGACTTAATTTATAGACTGTCCCTGTGTGAACCCTTTCACTGTGCTCCTGATGTGGTTGACCTTGCTGCCTCCTGGAAAGCCGGCTCTGGGGGCTTCCCTCCCCGGGCTGACCAGTGGTCTCTGTGTTCCATGGGGTAGCTGTGGTGACTGTCTGTCTGGGTGGGGGCCAGGCCGTCCAGAGGGATTTGGGCCACCGGCCCTGGTTGTATGCAGCCTTGGCCTCAGTCCTGGTGCTTCCCTGCTCTCACAGGACGTGTGGGGGACAGGCCAGCTGGACTGCCCCAGCTAGGAAGGGGGCCTACTGCCAAGCTGCCAGGCTGGGGCAGAGGCAGGGCTGTTGTGGGGAGGAAGGGCGGTGGGCTCTGAGGTGACGGGCCCATGGGGCCCTCTAGGAGACCCTCTGTGAAGTTGCTGAGCTCCAGTTACCCCTTCTACACAGGTTTCCTGGGCGCCTCTTCCATGCCAGCCATTTGCTAGGCCCCGGGGTGATGGCTGATGTGTCCCAGCCACGGAACAGGACAGTGATGTCACCAATCCTTACGAAACATCTGCTGGGGGCGATTTGTTACCTTGTTCATTCAGCAAACATTTAGCAAGTGCCTGCTGTATGCCAGGCACTGGGCTGGGTGCCAGGGGAACCAGTGAAGGAGACAGATGGTCCCAGGGTAGAGCACACAAGACACGCGGCAAATGTGAAGCAAGATGCTTTGAGATTAGGATCAGGGCTACAATCCTGGTATGACGGGAAGACGCTGGGGATGGCCTGGGCTCCTCCAAACACACTGGCCTGAGAGGATCACAACTCTGTAGGATTAACATTCATCCCCATTTCACCGGGAAAAACTCAGTCAACTAAAGCACAAGAGGTTACGTTGTCTGCCCAAGTAAGCGGCGGCGGGTTCGAAGCTCGGCTCTGAGCCAGTCGGTTAAGCGGCTGCCTTCAGCTAGGGTCACCGTCCCAGGGTCCTGGGATCGAGTCCCGCATTGGGTTCCCTGATCACCTGGGAGCCCTCGTCTCCCTATCCCCCTGCCACTCCCCGCCCTGCTCATGCTCTCTAATAAATAAATAAATAAATAAAATCTTTATTTTTTTTTAAAGAAAAGCATGTCTTCAAAAAAGTTTTAATACTGTATTTTATTTAATCCTATCTATAAAAATATTATCATTTCCACATGTAATCAAATAACGACTCATGAGATATGCGCCCCTTTTTTTGGCATAATAGAACTTGGCTATAGGTTTACAGCGCATTTCAAGAGTCCAACAGCCCGGTGGGGCGGCTAGTGGCTACCTCAGTGGGCAGGGCGGCCCTAGCCACAGATAATTGTCATTCATAATTTCATACTGATTCTTTTTTCATTTCTGTTCTTTATTAAGACTTTTTTTTTAGGGGCGCCTGGGTGGCTCAGTGGGTTAAGGCCTCTGCCTTCGGCTCAGGTCAGGATCCCAGGGTCCTGGGATCGAGCCCCGCATTGGGCTCTCTGCTCGGCAGGGAGCCTGCTTCCCTTCCTCTCTCTCTGCCTACCTCTCTGCCTACCTGTGATCTCTGTCTGTCAAATATAAAATCTTAAAAAAAAAAAAAAGACATTTTTTTAAAAGAGCAGCTTAATTTTCACTGTGATACCGAGGGGAAGGTGCAGGGATTTCCCACATACCCTTTGCCCCACGCATGGATAGTCTCCTTCGTTATCAGTCCATCCTGCCCTGGAGCCCCGAACAGCACGTCGCTATCATCCAAAGTCCATAGTTTATATCAGGGTCCACTCCGGGGCCCTATGTTCCATGCGTTTGTACAAATGTATAATGATATGCATCCATCTTTATGGCATCAGGGTACTTTACTGCCCTAAAAATCCTCTGTGTTCCAAGCATGTCTTTTTTATGATGTTTTGAAAGCCCAGACCTCCCTGATCATGGAAGGACTGCCCGTCCCAAGGTGAACAGATTCCTAAAGATCATAAATGCCTCCTGAGCAAACCTCCCATCTGCAAACGAGCCGATCCAGAGCCCACACCAGAGCCCCCTCCTTTCTGGCTCTCACACTCAGGGACACTGTCCCCTGCCCTGATCACCCCAGAGCCTGGTACCAGACAACTAAGACACAGCCCCTATGCCCCAGAGCCCACTGGAATCATGCAAACCAGCCAGCTCTGAGCCTGCAGGGGCTGCCTCACCCATTCCCTCCCATGGAAACCGGAGTACAGGCTCTTACCCACGTTTTCCCTCACTCCCTCTGCCTCCTGACCAACTCTCGTGCCTCCCCCTGCAGCCCAGTGTGGCAGGGTGTGCCCCCTTCTCTTGAGATCTGTGAATAGCAACTTTTTTCTTTTTAATGATTTATTTTGAGAGAGAGAGAGAGCATGTGTGCATGAGCAGGGGGAGGGGCAAAGGGAGAGAGAGAGTCTCATGCAGACTCCACATTGAGCAGGAAGCCTGATGCGGGACTTGATCCCTC